CCATCTTGCTCCAGCACTAGTAGCAAAGTTAAACAAGACAGAAAATAACAAATGCTATTGAGGATGCAGAGAGATTGGGACTCTCATACACTGTTGGTGGAATTGTAAAATGATACCACCACTGTGGAAAGCAGTTTGGCAATTCCATAAAAAGTTGGAATTAGAAATACCATTTGACCCAGCCATTCTATTACTAGGTATATAGCCTAAAGAAGTGAGAGCCAGGACAAGACAGACATATGCACACTCATGTTCATCACAGCACTATTTACAGCCAAAAGATGAAAACAACCTAGGTGTCCATCAACTGAAGAACGAATAACCAAACTATGATACATACACACAGTGGAATACTATGCAAATCTAAAGAATAACGTACAGTCTGCAAAACACCACATAACGTGGATGAATTTAGAGAACATTATGCTGAGTAAAGTAAGTCAATCCCAGAAGGACAAATATTGTATTAGTCTGTTATTGTAAAAAGTCAAGGAATGGTTTATATATGAAGGAAATTTTCTTTGTTGGTTACCAGGGTGGGAGGGGAGGAGAAGGAACACTGTTACTTAGGTAGAGACAAGTATTGATTTGGGTGAATGGAAGGGCAGTGTAGCAAATGTGAGTGATCATCATGGTGGTGTTGAGGAAGAGGAGGACATTGGGAGGTACAGACAACAAAGATGAACCCTTTTGCACATACAGTACTGCATTGTCAGTGAAGGCAAACGTAGCTATACAGGTGGATAGATGAGTGGACAAGCTGAACTATCAGGCTTGTCTATGCAGGGGTTAATGTGCCCAAGACCATGTATAAGGTTGGCAGACAATATTTCTACAAGTATACTTGTATGTTCTGTAAGAATTCCCAGGTGTATAGTAGAGCTGACAAGGGGCGAGGTTATAGTCACTTCTTGGGCACAGCCAGCTACCCAGAAGGAGCAAGTAATTGAACTTGTGGGCTGGGAACCTGCGGTGTAGTAAATTACTTAGTGTGGCTTTTCTACCCATAAGTCTTTGTAAACTCCAAGGTGGGAATTACTATTAGCAACTGAGGAGATCCTGATTTTAAAGTCGCCCACCTGG